TGATGTATTTGTATACTTGATTCAATATAAATAAAAAAATATGCTTATTTCTGTTTTACTGGCCAAGCAAGTTGCATGTTGAAAGAAAAATGTAGGATAAAATGTAACAACTAGTCATTCCATGTTCAGGAATGTATGGCTTTTCATTAAGTGCAAAATCTTTATTATAAGCATTACAGCAACAATATAATTATAAATATAAAGATAAAAAGCTTTAGGAACATTATTCTTCAAAGTAGAGCCACTGATAAAAAGGATCACAAATGATGTATTTGTACTGTGTAACCCAACGGTACATTTTTACAATCCATTATCTCCAACTATGACTAACATGGGATAGGTTAAAGTTGGTGCAAAATAACACTTCATTCTATCTACAACATGTTTGATGCATTAAAAATAATTTTAATTTAATGAAACACATTAAGTTTACATTATTATCTAAAAACATTCCAAAATTCATTCTATTTTACTAATGTAATGTGCAATTGTAAAACAATTTATTTCTAATATTGTCATTTTCTCATTCTGCTCATAATGAGAAGAATATGAGTCTGTGTACCTACATCATACATCACTTGAAATACTGTTTGTTATAAGAAAACTCCATAGTACCTCTCCATTTCATAAATATTACATTTCAGTGTTTTCAATTTTCCATGGAAAAGTACATGAATAATGCCTACTTAATATAGAAAGACTGTATTCTTAAGATAGAATAAATGTGATGTAGCTATCATTAACCACACACATTCACATACACGCAAAGAATGAAAGCATACCACCTACTGTATTTAAAGCTGAATAACATCAATATTTGCATGTCAAAAATAGCAAAAAATTATGCTTTATTACATTTTAACCGCACCCTGACCAGAAAGTGTATTTCACATGTAATTATAACTCTGAAAAAATCTCCCACTTTTTAAAGCTGAAATACAAAAAAATCAACTAACTGTTTTAACTGGCTTGTTCTCTATAATCAAAAACCTGGTTTAAAGAAATGTGAGAATGTGTTAGTGACTCAGTGCATTGCCCTGTGAGTCCTCTGATATCTGTTTAGACTTGATTCTTGATTAAGTGCATTCTGAAATTTATTATATCTGTCTTGTAGTTTTAAGTATCAATTCTTTGTTGTTCTCTAAGGTATATCTTTTGCATAAATATTTTTTCACATTAATTATATTTGTAAGGTTTCTATTCCTTAAAATTTTTGTGATGCTGAGCAATGTTTGAGAAAATATTGGAACATTTCTTTCAGTAAAGTTCTCCCATGTCCAATAAGGTCTCTGTTATAACTAAAGGTATTGTCAGCTCTCTACATTACTATAGTTTACTTTAAATACTGCTGTGCATTTTAAGGCTAATACTTGGAGAAAGCACTTCCATACACATTACATTTATCTAACTTTTATCTAGTATGATTTCTTTGATGTTGAATAAGATGTGAGCAGTTATTAAAGATGTTGCCACAATATCCACATTTGTAGAATTTTTCTCTGATATGAATTCTTTTATGTAGATTACGGTGTGAGTACTGGGACAATGTTTTGCCACATTCCTCACATTTGTATGGTTTATTTCCTGTATGGATTCATTTATGTAGAGTGAGATCTCTTAGCCCAGTAAAGGCTTTGCCACATTCTACACATTTTTAGGGTTTCTCTCCAGTATGAATTCTTTTATGTTGAGTAAGGGTTGAGGATTGTGTAAAGGCTTTGCCACATTCCTCACATTTGTGGGATCTCTCTCCTGTATGAATTCTTTTATGTCGAGTAAGGTGTGTGCACCGGGTAAAGGCTTTGCCACATTCTTCACATTTGTAGGGTTTCTCTCCAGTATGAATTCTTTTATGTCGAATAAGGTTTGTGCACTGGGTAAATGCTTTGCCACATTCTTTACATTTGTATGGTTTCTGTCCCATATGAATTCTTTTA